CCTCTCATGCATTACGGCTTCCTCTGCTCCAATCTAACCATCTTCTGGCTTCTCTCGTTCCTTCTAACATTCTCATGGCTTCCTTTCCTCTCTCGTAATTTAAATAGTGTAATTTAAGTAGTAATTAGGTAATTACTAGTGTAATTAGTTAATTATAACATGTTAATTAGTAATTAAATAGTGTACCTTAATAAACAATAGTGTAATTGTAATTAATAATAAATATATAATAAAAATAAATAATAGAGAGCAACAATTAAATATGTTTAGTGGTATAATAGTAGTATTTTTGTCGATAGTGCGCTTTTTAGCATGGCTATGTGGGTCAGTTAAACATTGTGGGCATCAAATCCTTGATATATGGAAGGTCTGTCGGCATCAGTTGGTGTTACACAGAAATCTGTGCATCACTTCTTAGATATATTTCAGGTGCCCTAAAGTGGTTTTGGGCACGCAGCCCGAGGCGGGGAATTGTATCGGTTTTCACCACGAACGCACAAAATAGCAGTAAAACAACTGGTGGCCACGACCAGGGGGAGTGACGCGTTGCTCGCTGCCTCGCAGAGAGCAGAGTTATATGGGCAATTTCAAAGAGCTCTTTCCAAAATAAGAAGCTGTGCCAGAATGTCGCTCACTGGGATAGAAGAAGCGTGTCTAGCGCTTTATGGTGTCTACCATGCCTGTGGAGGTGGACAGGGGGTGGACAGTTGGGCTTTACGCTTACCGGAATGTCGCGACCAGTAATCAGTCGTCACATTCTGGGGGGGGGGGAAGGTGCAAGTCCGCGATAATGGGAAAAAATTGAGGGGCAAAAAAGTGGTCGAGCAGTGTCAACTATGGGGCAAAAGATGCGGGAAGGAAAAATTTGTTGGAGGGAAAAAGATGGCAAGGAAAACGAAAATGGGGGGGGGGGGCAAATAAATAATGCGGCGCATGTCATACGCCCACTATGCGGACGGCCGGCATGGCCCCCCCCTCCTCAGCCTCGTCGCCCGCGGCAACCACCGACTCATCGTCCACACGACAATCAGCGGTCAGTTTGTCTCCTTCCTCGGCCACGCCGCCGGCGTCGTCCAGCTTCACGATGGGCTGGCTTCCTTCCTCTGCTGCTGCGGGACCCGTCTCCTCGCACGCGAGGTACCACCGTGCCCGCGACGCCCCAGCCGCAGCAGCAGCAGCAGCAGCAGCAGCAGCAGCAGCAGCAGCAGCAGCATCCCGGCCATTGTTCCGCCGATGTTTTCGACCGAACAGCAGCCAGCCGCGTGTTCCGGCAGTCGTTTCGCATCCGGCGGATCGTGCGGACGATGTTGCTGCTGCTGCTGCTGCCGGGCGTCTGCTTCTGCTGGCCGCCGCCGCGTACACGGCCGAGTCGCTGTCGTAGAGACGCTCACCCCCTCCTTCTCTGCCATGTCCTCCTCCTTCTCTGTCTCTGCCTCCTTTTCCTCCTCCTCTTCCGGCATGTCCTCCTCCTTCTCCGTCTCCACCTCCTCCCCCTCTGCCTCCTCCTCCTCTTCCTCTGCCTTCTCCTTCTCCTCCATCTCTGCCACTTTCTCCTCCTCTTCTTACCCCTCCTCTGTCTCTGCCTCCTTCTCCTCCTCTGCCTCCTCCACCACCTCCTCCTCCTCCTCTCCCTCCCCCTCCACCTCCTCCTCCGTCCAGCTCATCAACTTGCTGCCTGCAGACGACGACGTGGTTGCCGCACGCGCCGGCCGCCTCCTCGTGAGCGCCCTCTAGCGGCACGTTGCTGCAGCTCTTCGAGTAGGTGGCGCCACGGTGCCGGAGCAGGTTGCTCGGCCAGTGTAGCCGGTCGATCGGTAGACGCAGCTCCTCCCCGAACGGCGGTCTCCCCGCGTCCGCTGCCACCAGGGGGCTCTCCTCTCGCACATAGATGTCCAGGTGGCGCCGGTCGACTGCGTCGCCGGGCTGGTCCTCCTCGAGAGCGAGAGCGTCCTCTGCCAGCGCGATGTCTCCGCCGGCGCCCTCTCCCGCGCCGACCTCCACCACCACGCTGACACCGACGCCCCCTAGCGTCGCGAGGCCCGATGGACGATTGTAGGTGGCGCCGGCATCGTCGCACAGCGAGACGTGCACGTACTCGCTCCCGCGCTCCGCGCACCAGCCGCAAACATGCGCGCCGCCATCGCCCGCCGCCGACTCCGCGACGACGTCCCTCTCCACGCCGGCGCCACCTAGCGGTCGAATCGAAGCCGAGATGGAGACGACGCGGTCGTCACGGCGACCAGCGTCGCGCTCGTCCCACGTCCCGTTCGTCTGCGGCAGCAGCGGCGGCGCGTTGCCGTGGCAATGTATCGACGCGATGGCGTCGTCGCGGAGCGTGAGCGGCGGCTCGGGCCAGAACGACATCACGGCGGCGCCGCCGTCCGAGCGCGCGGCCCTACAGCAGGACGATACCGTGCTCCTCCTGAAGCAGACGACCCGACTCCAGCTCCATCTGTAGGTGGGCGGCAGAAAGACTCGGCGCGGACGAGAATGGCTTGCCGTCGCATTGCCGCGGCGATAGAAACGTCTCCTGGTCGTCGACGCGGCGACTGACCACGTGGTGGTGGCCCGTCCTGCGCGAGGCAAACAAACTAGTGGCGACATCTAGTGGTGCTAAACGTTATCGCTAGATATTCGATCGGAAACGCCCGCATATCTCGTGCATCTAAGCCGGCTACATCGTCATCGCACCTGTACGAATCAGCGCGAGCAGATCAACAGTACATTCATGCGTACGTTCGCAGTAATCACATTGTTAAACGTAGAACGCGAGACAGCCGCGGGGCGGCGAGGGCTCCACGTTATCGGTGGGCGCGGTGGCGGCGACGGCTGTATATATAACAGGGTGCGAAATTAACGCGAGTCCGGAGTCAAATACTCCCTGATTTACTGTCGGACTCCCTGATTTGACATATACAGGAGTCCCGTGTGACTACCTGAAAATTCTGCTATATTAACTAGTTCGTTCCAGAGCACGGCCTCGTGGAATTACCGTATTTTTTCAGCAAATGTCCAAAGAAAATTTGGCAGCCGTGCAACCGCACGAATCGTCAAAATAACCACATGCGTTATTTAGTTTGCATCTTTAGTTTTGAACTTCAGACTGCGGAATCCCTCTTTTTGAAAGCAGCGAGTCCGTTGGACTCGCTTGTTCAAAAGTTAATTTCGACCCCTGTATAATGACGACACACTGGAAGCGTTTCTCCTCATCGTCGACTCCAGTTAACAATTCTTGGCAACATGGCGTTATCGGTGGGCGCGGTGGCGGCGACGGTGGCGGTGGCCCCCCCCCCCCTGCGTGCGTGCGCGTACCTGCAGGTCACCTGGTTGACGTTCTCGTTCTCGCTGTACTCTCCGTGAAGCCACAGCGCCAGGTTCGAGAACGCCCTGTCCTCCTCGTACACCGGCTCCAGTGGCTCCCCCTGCAGGCTCCACTCGGAGTCGTCATAGACCAGCCATCGGTGGTCGGGGCCAGTCTGGGGGGGAGGTGGGTAAAAATCAAACTTTGAGACGCGTGCGCGGTTCGTACGAGAGAGCTTTCCGTCGTCAAATTACTGAGATGGCAGCATCACGTAAATATTAATCAGCGCGATGGCAGCATCGCGGCAGACGACATTTCAAGTGAGTGTGACGCTATTTCGCAGTTACACTTGCATTCTTCCATTATACATGCTTCCGATAGACGCAGCCCGCACGCGCAGCCCGCACTGCTACAACGGACAGCAATGTATGACTCTGAATACTGTGTGGTCTATAGGAACGGTCATTACTCACATAGCTGGAGGTGTTTTGTAGAACCTTCTTAAGGACTGCATCTAGACTCTCCAACTGGGCGGTGGCCAGCTTGTACTGCAAGAACGCACGTGATATCGGTTATTATCCAGGAAATTCGCCTAGTTATTTCAGGTAAGAACCTGTGATATTAACATCAGTTGAGCAGACACGATTGCGATTTAACGCGAGCATGTTTTCTTGTCTCCTCTTAGAATATTAGCACGATTAGGGGAATTAATAGTAGCGAATCAATATTTTAATAATTTTTAAAGTGATTACCTCACCTACGTAAATAGTACGTAAATAGTAAAAATAAAAAAAATATTTCCACTTTTTCACAAAATATAAGTAATTCTGTTCACTTTTTATGGTTAAATTGCTGCATTATACTTCTTATTTTGCTATAATAATTGTTCGATGTGAACATACACTCGTGACTCATACATAGCCCATAGCAAGCAATTAATGTCAGGAACATAATATCAAATCGTCCAGGTTTTTTGGATTTTTAACTAGTTGAGAAACAATCTTATCAGGTAAGAATTTGACGATCTGTTTAGTCCCGTTAGTTCTTACTTTTAATGTAAAAAAATGACAAAATTTTTTTTTTACAAATTTTACCATAGAAAATTCGTGACGTAGTCAATTTAATATTGTTTTAAATTAATATGTTTTATAACTCATAATGTATTAACGCATAATACTTTACTTTAATACTCAGAATATTAGCACAATTAAGGCAATTAAAATTAATAATAACGAATCGATGATTAATGCTCAGTTATTAATAATATAATTAACTAATAAAAAAAATTTTAAATTTAATAATAACATAATATTAGCTAGTGTCACTGCCTGTCAGCGCGCGCACACTCACCAGGGCTTCTGCCGTAGACTGCAGCGAACACGCCTGCGGGTCGAGCAGCAACACTAGCGCCATCTCTTTCACGCCCTGCACGTACAGGCAGACGTTCGTGAGGCCGGCGCAGGGCGCTGCGAGCAGCTCGGCGGCGCGGAACCCCGGGTAGCTGTCGTCGAAGCTCGCGCCGCGCCGGTATCCCGGCGTCGCGTCCGACCGTGTCCGCCGCACCGACCACCGGGGGGAGCCACGAGGCGCCGGCGACGCGGCGTCCACGCTCCCGCGGCGACGCGTCCGGGGCGTCGACGTCATAAACACGTCGCTGGCGTCGGCCGTGAACGCTGCTGCCACCTGGAGGCCGTCGTCCGTCACGGCTGCGCGGTGTCCTGCTGTGATTCGATCGACACCGGCAGACGTCATCTCAACACCTGTAGAGGTCACCTTATCATCTGTAGATGTCATCTCAATATCTGTAGATGTCATCTTATCATCTGTAGATGTCATCTCAACACCTGTAGATGTCATCTCAACACCTGTAGAGGTCACCTTATCACCGGTAGATGTCATCTCAACACCTGTAGAGGTCACCTTATCATCTGTAGAGGTCATCTCAACACCTGTAGAGGTCACCTCATCACCTGTAGAGGTCACCTCATCACCTGTAGAGGTCACCTTATCATCTGTAGATGTCATCTTATCACCGGTAGACGTTATCTCAATATCTGCAGATTTCACCTCGACGCCTGCACACGTCACCCCTTCTCCCTCTGACGTCACCTCAACGCCTGCACACGTCATCTCTGCACCTGGAGACGTCACCTCAACGCCTGCACACGTCATCTCTGCACCTGGAGACGTC